TGGACAAAGTTTTGGTAATTTCGGGTAAATTCTGGGTCACTTTTAAGGTTTTAAGGTGCTATTACGGTGCTATAAAGGTGTTTCACCTGTTGGAGGCCCAGCTTCTCAGCCCCGTGCTCCTCCTCCAGCCTCTTCCTCTGGGTGTGCGCCTCCTGCAGCTCCTCCTTCAGCCTCTGCAGCTCCTCCTGCAGCGACTGCAGCCGGCCGCCACCGTCCTGCTGGCTGCGCATCACCTGAAGCTCCTTCTGCAGCTTGGTCACCTCGGAGCCCAGAGAGGTGTTGACGGTCTGCAGCTGCTCGTTCTGAGCCCTCAGCTCCTTGGACTGAAACAAACAGTGGGACAGTCAGGCCGGGCGTCTGAGGAGCTTCACAACAAAGCGATGGACTTCTGCTGTCCAGATTCTGCTCAAACCTGACACAAACTCATAGTTTAGCAATCAGCCAAAATGATTTGGAAAATACAGATAAAAGCTAAGCTTGTTCACGTTTACACAATACAATATGAACATCATATTCATGAATGTGACACCTGGTCGTCCATCTTCCTCTGCAGCTGTACGATCTTGTTCTCCATCCCCGTGTTGAGCTTCTTCAGGTGTTCGGCAGACCGAGCTGCTATCTTCAGCTGCTTCAGCTGTCGTTTGGCTCTCATCCGTCTGAAGGCACACTGGATGATGATGGCGGCGTCTCGCGCTCGCCTGAACTTCCTCCTCTGCAGCCAGCCGCGGACGTTCTTCTGGATGATCATGGCCTTGTGGTGCAGCAGGAACTGCAGATGGACGACAAACACCTCATTCATCCATCAGGTCGCATTCCAGTTAAATAAGAAGCAGTCCGTCGGCTGTTAGCACTGACTGAGGCTTCGCAGTGTGTCTGATCTAAACACTGGATCTACTGAGGACTATCCTCTGGATCAGCTGTTGGGCTCTTAAACTTTCAATTCAATTCAATTCAGTTTTATTTGTATAGCACATATTTACAACAACAGTCATCTCATAGCGCTTCACAAAGGCAGAAACACCCAACAATCCAGAACATCTGGATTCTCTATAAGCTTCAGCAGTCTGCTGGTGGGACGGAACCGAAAACCCCCACAGGGGAAAAAACACCTCCGACAGAACCAGGCTCAGGGAGGGACGGCCATCTGCCTCCACCGAACATGGATCAGAGTTTCCTCAAATGTCTGCTTTAGTCCAAAGATGTTCAGGTTACTGTCTTAGAGGAAAGAAACCACAAAGTACTCACACTGAAGAAGCTGCAATCACAGAATTCAGACTGAGTGACTTGTTGATTCATGTTCAGCTGAACTGAGGTTTGCAGCACTGTGACAGTGATCACTATGGAACTGTACTGAGTGCTTATTGTGGAAATGCTGAGTTTCACCATCGCAGATCATCAGGTTCCTTCTGCTGCAACACTCTGATCTGATTAAAACTTTACTATCAAATACAGATATTTAAGATGGTATCTCTCAAACTGTACATTAATGTACTGAACATTGATTTTTCCATATGTGTTGAAGCGCGATGTGGCTGTGTACCTCCCAGTAGACCCTCCTGGTGAACATGCCCCTGCTGTAGGCCTGGATGGTGATCACAGCTCGTCTGACTCGCTGATACTCTCGTCTGTCTCTGACCATCCTGAACTGTTTCTGACAGATGATGGCAGCTCGAGTCAGACGCAGAAACTCTGCATACCTGAAACACAAACACTTACATTCAATCAGAACAAATAAGAAGTGAGTCTGATCAGCTCCTTGCTGTGTCTGTGTGGACGTGTTCTGTACCTGCGGGCCAGGTAGCCTCGGCCGTATCTCTGCAGGCCGATGGCAGCCCTACGGATCTTTTGGTACCGGACCCTGTACAGCCAGCCGCGGACCGTCTTCTGGATCTTGATGCAGGCTGAGCGGAACTTATCGGCTCGCAGCTTCTCCAGGTACGCTACCTGCCCGGCCCGGAAGAAGATCTTGGTCTTACCAAACTGGAACATGTCCGGTTCCTGGCAGACACACAGAGAAGAACATCGATCAATAAATTAGGTTCAGCGTATCAGGATCAATAGATCAGGATCAGTAGATCAGGNTGGACGTGTTCTAAACCCCTGTGGACACGTTCTAAACCACTGTGGACACGTTCTAAATCACTGAGGACACGTTCTAAATCACGTTGGACACGTTCTAAACCCCTGTGGACACGTTCTAAACCACGTTGAACACGGTCTAAATTACTGTGGACACGTTCTAAACCACTGTGGACATGTTCTAAATTACTGTGGACGCGTTCTAAACCACTGTGGACGCGTTCTAAACCACTGTGGACGCATTCTAAATTACTGTGGACGCGTTCTAAACCACTGTGGACGCGTTCTAAACCACTGTGGACGCATTCTAAATTACTGTGGACGCGTTCTAAACCGCTGTGGACGCGTTCTAAACCACTGTGGACATGTTCTGAACCACTGTGGACGCGTTCTAAATGACTGTGGACACGTTCTAAACCACTGTGGACACGTTCTAAACCACTGTGGATGCGTTCTAAATTACTGTGGAC